CACACACACACACACACACACACACACACACACACACACACACACACAAAGGGGGAAAGGGAGAGAGAGACAGAGAGAGAGAGGGAGATTAACAAATTGAAGAACTAGCAAAAAATAATTGCCTACCAGATGGAGGTATGTACATGTTGTGTGTTTGGAAGTATGCATAAATAAACACAATCTATTCCCCATAACCCTCTGCGGTACGACTGTCATTCTCAGACGGGGGAGCCCGTGCACACTGACCTCCCTAGGGCCACAGACTTTCTACGTGGAGGGATTGGGACTCCAACCCAGGCCAACTTGATCCAAGGCGCATAGCCAACCACTGCCCGTTCATGATGGCAGGAAGGGAGAGCAAAGAGCTGCTGACACCGGTCCACTGTTGCTAGTGTAATCCTGGAGACTGTGGTCGTGGGTGGAGGGCTCTGTTTTACTTGGTCATTGAGCAACACTCTCGGGAAAGAAAGCTTAAACCTTGGGCTGTTGGAGCTGCCTGGACCCCTAGACACTGACCTCTTGGAAGCTGGAGAATGTGTCTGTGTGGACTGGTTCTATCTGCATTGAGATGTCACACTTCTGGCTCAGATTCCTAGGCTTCTGCTCCGTGCTCAGCTGGGGTCTGGGTTTCTCTTGGGAAGCCCTGGGCAGAGAGGGGCGTCATGGGTGTCAGGCAGCCCAGGGCCCTCAGACCTTTGCATGCCTCCGTAACCTGGAAGTAAAACTATTTCCACAGGTGACAGTTCTTTCAGACTTCCTGCATTAAAGCCTAGCCCAGTTACCTGGGAGAATGCGCATGCCAGAACAAAGCACAGCTGTTTTAATTAATGAGTCTAGGAAGCAATGAAACACTACCATTCATTCATCTGTCTGATTTAACCAGCCTTTACTGAGCCCTCTCTGTGCCAAAAGCCTTGGGGTGGTCATGCCACGTGGATCCCTTCCCACACCTGAGCGTCTCCTTGAGGACTTTCAGTTCCCTGTCTTTCTTCTCCAGAAGGCTATTCATCTGCGCCATCTTCGCCTTGAGTGCGCTCAGCTCCATCTTCTGCTGCTGCACCAGGGCCACGTGTCGCTCCAGCTCCAACTTCTGCTTCTCGCTTAGGTCCCCTGGGAGTGACAGGAAGTTAGGTGGCGAGTAGTTCCCCACTTCAGGTCTCTGCCGTGGACTAGCTAACAGCCCTGGAAGGTCCACGAGGCAGGTCCGCCCCAGGGTTCCCAGCGCTTCTAGTGGTCCCCAGGAGCTCTGCCAGAGCCTTGGCATGTGACAGAGGGGGGCACAGCAAGTTCGCCGATTCTGCCTCAACCACCAAAAGTGCCCTATCCCCTCCCCAAGTCCCTGCGGTCTTTTGGGACACTCTGGCCAATGTTCACCTGCCCGCTTCTGGGTCTTTTTGTTTTCAGACAGGGTCTCATGCGTCCTACACTGGTCTTTATATGGCCAAAGATGACCTTGAACTTCAGATCTTCCCATCTCCACCTCCTCAGTGCTGGGGTACAGGGTGTGAGGCCAGGCTCACTTTCCTTTAGTGCTGGGGCCTCACGCAGCCTAGGCAAGCCCTCTACCACCCAAGCCTCATGCCCGACTGCTTTCTGCCCAGCGCTCTCAGGCCCCTGGAGTCTCCTGGGCTAGGTGCCTGCCAGGCGCAACAGCGTTCCCTGCACAGCTGGCACAGACAGCTGTTCCGCTCCTCACTCTCCCTGGCAGAATTAGTTCTGGGTGCCTCGGTGCCCTCTTGATTGGCAGCCCACTGCACCTCACTCCCCTGCCTCCCTCTGGCTCAAGCCCTACTTCACTGCTGGCATTTACTGGGATGCTGACGTGGATAGACTGGCTGTGGTGGAGTTCTGGTTTAGGGTCCACTGCTGTGGAGAACCTACACCAAGGCCCTTGTGCTGCCTTAAATCTTCGGTTGCTGGCTACGGGAGAATTACTGTTGGCACCCCCCCCACACACACACACACACACAGATGAGGACGATGAGGCTCAGAGAGGTACAGTCTTGTCTGAAGTCAAGGGCCTAATGGTGATCTTTCCCACCCCTACCCTGGGTAGCTGTTGAGGAAGGAGGTGTGCGGCCTTTTTGCACAAGGAAGAGGAAGCATGCGAGGCCTCTCTACACTGCCCCCAGGGTCTTGCAAAGGACCTGGCCCCCAGGGGAACGCCACTACTGCCTTCCCAGGGGTGAAGATGCTCTGCAGCAGATGATATTGATGCTCAAGGTCCACCAAGACTGTGTGATCCCGGGGTGACAGGGGCTACAGGCACACAGGAACTCAGGTCCACATGAGGCTTTGGGACCAAGGTTGCTGACTCTTTGCCTTCACTTCCTTCCTGAGTGGGTCAGGGTGTCAGATGACCCAGGAACTCGTACCAACCTCTCAGGTCTGACATTCGGCTGTGGGCTTCACTGAGGTTTGTCCTCAGCCCCATGATGATCTCCTGCTGAGACAGGATTTCCTTCTGAGCAGTCAGCAAGTCATCTCTGCAATGTAAGAAAAACAAAAACAAAAACAAAAAAACAAAACAACAACAACAACAAAAATAAACAGGCCAAGTCAGCTGTGGCCAACTCCCCAGTGACTTCCCAAAAGATTAGATAGGAGGACACAGAGAAAAGACTCAAAATGCCTGGGGATGGACCCTGGGACCACAACCCAGGCAGGGGACAGGCAGCCTTTAAATACTCCAAAAGAACCTCATTTTGATGCACTTTTACTTAGCACACTATGAGAAAGAATGAGGGGTCTGGTGGGATTGGACTGAGGTCCACTAAGGTGTAATGAGGGTGTCAGCCAGTTCTGAAATGGGTCCTGTCAACACAGATGGACATGCCAGTGAGGTTTTGTGGAAAGAGGGTGGAAGACCGTTTGGGAGCTCAGGACTTCCATGAGGATGGGGAAGAAGACCAGGAGACAATAAGGGCTTTCTGTTCATTCCCTGGCACGCTGAGACCCTGAGTGGCGGGAACCAGACATTAAGGAGATGCAGGAATGATAAGAAGACAGACTTCCTGTGCCGCACACGGCAGGGGCGACTTTGACACTGTGAGGATTGCTGTTTGCACTGGAGGGGTGTCCCCCAGGACAGACACTCATTAGGGACCACAGCATGCGAAAGGGGAGAAAGTCAAGGGAAGCTGTATTTTGGAGGGGGTTTTATTTTGTTGTTGTGTTTTGGAGGGAGTCTGAGGGGCCTGAACAGAAAGACATGCTTCGGGGTGCGCTTGTGTTGGGGGAGGAATGGCATTGTGTAGAAGGTCTTGCCACTTGCCACTCTCCACCAAGCCCCAGCTCTTCTCACAGGGGTGCCTCTGTCTTTCTCAGAGAGATGGATTAAGCCTTCCTTCTTCACATATGGCTTTGCAGGAGCCTTGTGGACTGTTCTACTCATCACTTGTTTAATTTTCAAGGCTTCACACACACAAGGCAAGTGCTCTCTCACTGAGCTATATTCCAAGCCCCTGTGCTGTGTTTTGGGCCCCAGGCTTGTTTCCTGTGTTCACTTCGGAGGGCTGGGCTCACAGGTGTGGGTCCCTACACCTGGGCACTGACAGGTTTTGTTTTCTTTCAAATTGTCATTTCCTCAAGGTTCAACAGACTTTTTGACCCTTAGGGAGGGTTGGGAGAGGGGACCGCGTGAGTTAAGGTCAATTAGTCCAATCTGCTTTTCCCTCCTTATATCTTCTTTATTTTGTGTGTGAATGTGTGTGGGCGCTTACTTGCCACATTGCACCTGTGGGGACAGCTTGGGGAGAGTCACTCTTCACCATGTGGGTTCTGGGGATCAAACCCATTGTCAGGCTCGCTGAGCCACCTTGCTAGCCAGAGTTTTAGTGCAACCTGTTAACCCATTCCAGGCCTCTACCCTTTGTAAGCAGTCTCCACTGTCAACATGGATCAAAAGATAGAGACCCTTCCCAGAGGGGTTCAGGAAGCAAGGCCAACCACAGCGCCAGCTCCCAGTCACCAAGCTGCGGGCATGTCCTTCCTACAGAGGCAGCCGCTGAGGGAGGCAGCCTGACTCACCAGGACTGCAAGGCCACCAAGCATGGAGTTGTGATCTGAACAGACAGCTGCCCGGGTCCTCCCACCGCATGGTCCTCCTTAGCGGCAGGGACTGGGAAACCTAAGAGCAGCAACAGCATGGATCTGACCTCGTCCCAGCGTCTCCGGTGCTCTTGGTACTTACATCAGGTGGTCGCACGCGATTTCTTTGTCACTGTTGTCCAGCGGGGTGTCTGCTGTGGACTCCTGGGGCACGTCCTCCTTTTGAGCTGTGTGCACCAGAGGGACACGTCAACATCATCACAGGCCATATGCAGTGGACTTTCCCTTTTCCCTGCCCTGTGGACACACCTGTGTCTCTCACCACTCACTGGCACTTTCTCTACCCTGAAACTCCTTACATGTGTAGCTAAGGCTGAGGCTGTCTCTGTGTGTGAAGTCTGGCTGTGGCTTGTGTCCTCTGAAATGATATGTTGACATTTGATCCCCCTGTGAGGACTTAGAGGAGTGCGGAGATGAGGCCATCATGGCGGAGGATCCTGGTGGAGACCCAGGATGCCAGCTTCAGAAGAGGGACAGAGACTACACACACTTACATGCCTTGTGTCTTGTGATTTTCTACCTCCTCCCATTATAAAAACAAAACCAAACCAGAGTCTCCTGGGCGGGAGAGATGGCTCAGAGGTTAAGAGCGCTGGCTGGTCTTCCAAAGGTCCTGAGTTCGATTCCCAGCAACCACACGGTGGCTCACAACCATCTATAATGGGATCTGGTGTCTTCTTCTGGTGAGCAAGTGTACAAACAAGACAGAACACTGTATACACAATAAATAAATAAATCTTAAAAAAAAATAAAAGAAACCCAACCAACCAAACAAACAGAAAAATCAGAGTCTCATGTAGCTCAGGCTGGCCTCAAACTTGCTATGTAGCTGATGATAACTCTGGACTTCTAATCCCCTTGCCTCCACCTCCCAAGTGTTAAGGCGTGGAACACCACCAGATCGTGTTTTCGTGGTGACAGATCAAACCAGGGACTTCCTGGGCCAGCACTCTACCAACTGAGCCATACCCCACACCCCTTCTCTCTTGACATGTGACACCCTAGGTTTTCTCAGGACTCTGCTGGCAAGGCCATCACCAGAAACACACTTTCCACCTTGAACCTAACCTCCACCTAAACTGCTTCTTTTTCATCTGACCACTCATTAAATACTGGTCCAGCAACAACAGAAAACGAGCTAATATGGCTATGAGCTCTCCCTGGCTACTGGGTGAGGCAGAGGTCATCAATGACACCCACAGACAAGAGAGCAATATGGGAATGAGGGATCTGATGCAAATGGCCAGGCCAAGCCCTACTGAGGGGTCACATCTCTCTTTTTAGACAAAACTCTTAAAATAATCTGTTTCCTAGCTTCCTGGCTTCCTCACAAACTCCGTAGCCCACTGTCCTCTGCTTTCCAGTTCTTACTCATTTGTTTCTTTACTTAACAAACACTTATTTTCAATGCCTGCTTTATGGCAGACAACCACCTCAGGATGGAGATGACAAAGATGCTGTCTCCCTTAGGTCCCATTGAGCAGCCTCACTCTTACCTGGACTCTGAGTCAGGAGACAGAACTTGCTCTGTGCCCTGCTTGTCCCGAGTCACGGTTTGGGCGCTAACTTGGTTACTCATAGGGATACTGGTTGGCTTGTCTATCGTGGATCTCCAGAGGAAGCTGAGGCATCACATGTGCACAAATGAGAAGGCTGTATGAATGATGCACAAAAGTGAGCCTGAGCTAACCCTCTGTGTCTCCCACTGGAGGCTAGCTCACCTCTGGAGGGTAGACACTTGGCTGTGAGGTGGGAGGGGAATGAGGCAAACAGTGGCGGGAGTTAGCTAAGCCGGGCACCCTGCCCCCAGGCAAAGCCTACCCAGTGCCAAACATCAACAGTGCTGATGTTGAGGCCTCTGCGTCCAGAATTTTCCTCCCAGAGCTTAGTGTCTGTCATGAGTGACCTAGGTCATTTAAGGTGAGCGAGTGGCTTAATTGATTGCTGTTTTTAGCCTCTTTGGGTTTGTTTTGTAGGAGGCTGGTCCCTGCTGCCCAGGAATGCTGTTAGTAAGGTCACAGTGGCCAGAGGCATAGAGAAGGCCCTGGACTGTCATTTTCATGTGGAAAAGACAACTCCACGAATAGCTCTGGCTGCCCTCGTGCCTCGCCAGCTCACTGGGTTGGCACAAAAGATGTCCTAACTCATTGTCATTACTTTGGTTCCCTGAGGCCTCGGAGGGCTTCCAGTGTCATGTGCAACGAGGAGCAAAGAGAGAATGAGGGAGGCTTTCAGAGGAGCCCGCGAGGGAGCTGCTCTTCCACGCCCTACCTAGTTCATTGTCTTTTAAGTTTGCGATGTCCTCTTCTATCTTCCTGTGGTGCTGAGTCACTTGGCAGAGCCTTTCCTCTAGGCTCACGATGGTCTGCGAGTGCTGTCTGATTTGCTCCTTGTACTCCGTGATCTCCTCTTCGAAGCCATGCTTCTGGGATTCCCGCTCATCCACCAGCGCCTTCATCGACTGCTCCTGCAGCTTCAGCTGCTGCTCCGTCCTTATCTGGGGAAACACTCTAACCTCAGGAGCCAGATCAGATGGCAGCAACCCGCCTCCTCAACGCTCACCGGTGCAAGGCTGCCTCCCACCTCAGAGCCTCTGCATGCCCTGTTCCTGTTGGCATTCTCCCTGCCCCCAAGGGCTGCCCCACTGTCTTCCAGGTCTTGGCTCTAACCAACGTCACCTCCTTGGAGGCATCTTTCCAGACATGTTGGTAGAAGAGCCCCAGACAATTTCTATTTTAATTTTCTTGTCCCCACACCTGGAGTGGCCTTGTTTTTTTGTTTTTCCCTGCAAGTCTCTGAGCTCCATGCAACAGAAACCTTGCTCTTTTACTGGTATGCCCACAGCACCTAGACCCAGATGCTAGATGAAAAGTAATGAGTGGTGTGTGTGAGCTGAAGAGGAGGCCCAGGAGGCTGTTCCAGAGACCTGGTTTCAATTCCCAGCACCCGCATGGCAGCTCACAATCATCTCTAACACCAGTTCCAGAAGACCTGGCACCCTCCTCTGACCTCCACGAAAACCAGGCACACAGGTGGTGCACAGACATAGATGCAGGCAAAACACCCATATGTTTAAAATAAAAATAAATGTATCTTTAAAAGATTAATAAATGGATGAACAGTTGGACCAAAAAAAGCAAACCGATTTGTATTTCTGTGTGTGTGTGTGTGTGTGTGTGTGTGTGTGTGTGTCAGAAGACAACCTTGTGTGTCATTCTTCAGGTGCCATCCTGGAATTTACCAGTAGGCTAGGTTGGCTGGTCAGCAAGGCCCAGGGGTCTGCCAGTCTTGGCCTCCCCTGTGCCAGACAACATGCAGGCACTGTAGTTCTTATCAGCTAAAATTACCAACAGAGGCTCTTACACAGAAAATCAGACAGAACTTGTAAGTACCCTCCATATTCTGAGTCCTTTTTGACATCTCAATCCCAGACCCCTCCGACTCCTCCTACGTCACCAGCCCCGCCTTCCTCGGCCCCTGCCCCGCCTTCCCTGTCTCCTGCCACACCTTTCTCGGCCCCTGCCCTGCCTCCCTCGTCTCCTGCTCCACCTTCCTCGGCTCCTGCCTCTGCCTTCCTCAGTTCCCGTCCCACCTTTCTTGGCTACTGTTCTCTTCTAGGGATGTGCTGGGCCTCCCAGCTACCCATGAGCTTGGATGTTTTGCAATCTCTTCAGATCCCCAAATTTATTTTATTGAGACAAGGTCCTTATCAAGTTACCCTGTTGTTCTTACACTCACTTCGTAAGTCAGGCAGACCTCAAATGTATCTCTCTCTTTCCTCAGCTTCCAGAGTGGCTGGGATTACAAGCCCATGCCACTAGGTCCAGAAATAATAATTTCTCAAACAGGGCTGATTTTTGCCTCTGAGAGACATTTGGTAGTGTCTGTGTCAGCTGGGGATATGGGAAGAGTGCTGCTTACTGTGCACAAAGCACAGGACAGTCCCTGAGGAAAAAAAGGATCTGGCCCAGAAGCTGCTCACCGCTCCCCCCCAACACAGCCCAATTCTCCTGATACTGTGTCACAGTTAGGATTTCTATTCCTGTTGATGACACCACAGCCAAAAGCAGGTTGTGAAGGAGAGGGTTAATTTCATCTTATCATTCTCCACTGCTGAGGAAATCAGAGCAAGAACTCAAGCAGGGCAGGAACCTAGAGGCAGGAGCCGATGCAGAGGCTGAGGAAGGTGCTGCTTAAGGCCTTGCTCCCCTTGGCTTGCTCAGCCTGCTCTCTTATGGCTCCCAGGACCACCAGCCCACAGGTGGTACTGCCCAACCAAGAGAGCATGCGCCACAGGCTTGCCCACAGGTCACCTGGTGGGGGCATTTTCTCAAGTAAAGGTCCTTTTTTCTCCCAGGTGACTCTGGTTTGTGTCAGGTTGACCTAACACTAGCCAGCACATGTTGTAATCTTCCATGGGGGAGGGCTTACCATTTTCAGATCAACCCACCATTTTCGTCTTGGTTGTTTCAAGCTCGGCTAATGTTTCGTTTAACTTCAGGGAGAGGTTGTCAGCTTTGAGACTTTCAGCTGTCTTCATCCGCTGAACCTCCTCTACCATGGCCAGGGCGTCGCTTAATTTATTATTTAAGATGTCCTCCTTTTGCCCCTTTAATTCTATCTCCTAGACAAACAGCAAACACCAAATTAACAACATGTGGGATTAAATACTTACTCTTCTCCCTTAGCCCCTGTGCCTTCAGAAAGGACACAGACACCAGTCTGTTGAGGATTCCTGAGACCAAAGCCCAGGGATTTTCTGGAAGGTTCCAATTACTGCAGAACTCTCCTTTATCTTCACAGAGATCTGTCTCCTTGTGATATCTGATCTCTGAGCCTCATTCTGTCACGGGGAGTGCTTGACTAAATTTTATTTCTCTTTTATGAGACAGCCCTTTAAATATTTGAGGAGGGCTTGTCATGTCTCTCTCTAAATCTGTCTTCCAGGATGAATGTGCTAAGTGTCCTTAGCTTCCACCACACGATCTGGAGATGCCGCCCCCCCCCTTCACTCCAGGTCTCTGGCCAGATTGCATCCCAGTTGCCAAGTCCTTGGCGTAGCTAATGCCTCCCCTCAAAGCACGTTTGTTACAGTCCTACTGCCCCCTTGGAGACCCTGTACCAAGCACTGGAGTATAGGCACAGAGTTCATGTATTTCTGAACTGAGCCATGCATCTGGTCTGTGTAAGTTGGCCTGCTGTCAGCCATCTTTGTTCCATACCCACAGGTCTGGAAGAGAACCCCTTTCAGTTGTCTTTGCTCCGTATCCATAGATACTGTAGAGACCATGTTGGCCATCTTTGCGTCATGCTAATAGGTCTAGAGAAGACTCACTGTCTGCCATCTTTGTTCCACACCCACAGAGCCGAAGCTATTTTTCTTCTCTATTCTCTCTATCTGGTTTGCTTGTGTAAATGACATTAACGTTCTTTTGTTTTGTTTTTCTGTTTTTTGAGACAGGCTTTGTCTGTCTCTGGTTGTCCTGGAACTCAGAGATCCATTTGCCTCTGCCTTTGAGTGCTGGGATTAAAGGTGGGTGACACCTCCCCCTCCCCCCACCCCCCAGACATCAACCTTTTGATTGCTCTATTGTAAATACAAATGAAACTGTGTGCAAATAAGCCTCTTCGGTCTGGCTAGATTTTTTTTCTTTTTTGAGATATGGTCCTATGCAGTTCCGGACTAAATCTTGAATCCCCTCAGTGGCTTAGGATGACCATGATTCTCTTACCTCTATCTCCCAAGTGCTGGGACTAGAGGCACGTGCCATCAAGCCAGGTTTATGTGGTACTGGGGACCGAACTCAGAGCTTGCTGCATGCTAGGCATGCACTCTTCCAGCTGAGCTAAATGCCGTTGGTAACCTTTCTGAAGCTGGCTATTATGACAGCCTTGAGCTCTTAATCTTTTCCATGTATCTGATAATTACCTTCTTTTGAGAAACTTCTATTCAGGGGACTGGAGAGATGGCTCAGTGCTTAAGAGCATTGGCTGTTCTAGCAGAGGGCCCGGGTTTGATTCCCAGTATCCACATGGTGGCTCACAATCATCTGTAACTCCAGTAATGGTCTCTTCTGGCCTCTGCTGGCACCAGACACACATGCAGGTAAAACACTCATACACACATAAAAAAATAAGATTTTTTTTTTTCTAAAGATAGAAAAATATCTATTCAGGTCAGGTGTGGTGGTGCTAGCGGATAATTCCAGCTACTTGAAAGGGCTGAGAGGCCAGAGGATGGCAGATTTGAAGCCAGCCTGGATTACATAGCAAGTTCAAGTTCAATCTGGGCAAATTAATGAGACTCCATTTCGAAAATAAAATAAAACAAAAAAAGAGTTGGATGTAGGTTAGTGGAAGGGCCCCTGACCAATATGTGTGAGGACCTGGGCTCCATTCACCAGTACTAGGAAACAAAACAAGCCAGTCCAGCAGGCACCTGGTGAGTGTTTCGGCTGGGTGTTTCAGTTGGCAGTCTTCCCACTGAGCTATTTAAATTCTTCAGATGGTTTAACCGATTCTCTGACCTGTGTCTTGAAAGCATTTCCTGCCCCATTTGGGGTTGTATCTGGTCACTGTTTCCTGTGTCTGGAGGAAGCTTTTAACTTGTCCATTTGTGTTTTTATTTCCCAGGGCTTGGGGGAACGCCCAAGAGAACCCCTGCCAGTGCCACACGGGGCTTGCTCTGCAGCTCTGCTCTCTGTGCTGGTGCATGGTGGGTTCCTGTGGGGTGGCATGTTACTGCTTCCCTTGATGTGTGGTGCCATCGGCCAACTCTGAGCTCCCCTAGCTAATGGCTCTGCTGTCCTGATCTAAGGCTGCTGTTACGGGTGTTCCCTGTTGCAGAATTCTCTTCGTGACAGCCTCCATGGAGGTTCTCTGTGGGGTTGGCACCAGAAGAGTTTCACCTCTGTGAGCTTGCTTGACTTTTAGCTGTGGGCTTGAACCCACAGCTAGCTAGGGTCTAGCACAAGCCAGGCAAGCACTGTGTCTTTGAAGTCTATCTTTAGCTCTCTTTTTACTTTTTATTTTGTGATAGGGTCTTCCGCTTTGCAGCCCAGACTGGTCTTGAACGACCTCAGCCTCCTGAGGAGCTGGGATTACCGGCTTGCGCTAGTAGCCCTGCTGTGCTTGCTCCTTTTCTGTGTAGCGACTGCACAAGCAGCAGGCTTTTCCTGGCCCTGAAACTGCTGGGGATAAAATTGTAGCTTATTTCTTGATTCATGATATACTTTAAAAAAAGATTTACTTTTATGTGTATGGATATTTTGCCTGCTGATGCGTCTGTGTACTACTTGCGTGCTGGTGCCCGTGGAGGCCAGAAGAGGGCGTTTGGATCCCCTGGAACTGGAGCTATGGGTAGTTGTGCGCTGCCACGTGGGTGATAGAAATCTAAGCTGGGTCCTCCGTCAGAGCAGCCAGTGCTTTTAACCGCTGGGTCGTCTCTCCAGCCCTGACATGTATATGCACACATATGCGCATACGATGACTATGGTGTATACGATGTAGATGTTTAAATTTACATTAGTCTCATTACTAGCTTGTCTCCTCTAACCAACTTAAATTCCCTTCTCCGCCCACCCCTTGCTGACCTATCCCTTCCCGCGGTCACTTACTAACGCATCCCCACCCCTCACCGACTCCTTCTACAGCATTCCAGATTTCGTCATTTGGGAAACAGGGTAAGAGATGGCTCCTTTGGTCAGTTCTCAGTCGGAACTCCGGGTCTCCACACTGGAGGGTGGCAACACTGAGTTCTTGCTTTGCTGGACTCTGCCTTCTCTGGATACCCATCCATGAGTTAAGGCCTTCCATCAAAGTGCGGTCCAGAGCAGTTGTGCAAAGCCAAGAGGCTTGCTTAATGTTGTTTCTCACTTAGGTGATCATTTTCAAGATGCTCCGGAGCCATTTGCATAGCTTGTTAAAAATACAGATTCCAGAGCCACCCTGTATCCGGGACACTTGAAACACACGCATGCCAATGTGTGGGTGCCTGAGCTAAAGACCTCCCATCTCAAATGGAAGCAAAGAGACTTAGATGCCCTTCTTGGTCCAGCAGGCCCTGAAGATCCTTTCAACTCACACTCGCCTATTTAAATTTAACTCTCATTTGCCAGGTAGGATGTTGTTCGCCTCCTTTGACTGAGATATTGGCCAAGGAGTGTGTGCCTACGTATATAAAAGTGTGTGTGTGTGTGTGTGTGTGTGTACGTGTGCACACGCCCCTTACACGATGGGAACCCAGGATGAGCAAAGGATACATGCGGTTTGTGGGATCGTGGGCAGCCACGTCTTTTTTGCCCACCAAGTCAGAATTGTGGGTCTTATCAGAAACACATTTCATTATAGTGGAAGAAGTGGGTGAAGAGGAAGGTTTAGGAGTCCTGGGTTTGGATCCTGCCCCTGCACATCTGACAGTCACATGCGTGGCTGGCACACGAAGCGCGTACTGTGGGCAGAGCCGTCTATGTGATCAGCAGCTGTGTCTCACCATGACAGAGTGACCATATTTCATAGGTGGGAATACCAAGTCCCAGAGGCGGTAAGGAACTTTGCTAAAGTCCCACAGCTGGAAAGGAGCAGAAGGATTTGAACCCTGGCTGCAGGGCCTGGCAGGTCCGTGGGAGCGATGGTCACCTCATCTCTGACACCCATACCTCTCTTTGCTTGGTCAGGCAATTCATGAGGTCCTGGATTCTCCTCTTTTCACTCTCTAGACTGTCTTTCATTTTGAGTCTCTCGAAGGTCATGCTGTCTGAGATCTGGAAGTCAAGGAGGGGGTTTGAGGGTGAGAGCAGGAGAAAGGGTATGGTAATTTGATTAGGGTCGGATAGGTGTTAGCCTTGTTGGAGGAAATGTGTCACTGTGGGTGGGCTTTGGGGCTTCCGAAGCCCATGCCAGGCCCAGGCTCTCCCTCTCTGCCTTGGATCAAGGTGTAACTCCCAGCTACTGCTCCAGCACCACAAGTGCAGCCATGCTCCCACCATTCCCCCTCCGTGATGATAATGGACTAACTAACCCTTTGAAACTGTAAGCAAGCCCCTGATTAAATACTTCCTCTGAGGAGGATTGCCTTGGGCATGGTTTCTCTCCACAGCAGTGGAACACTGACTAAGACAGAGGGTGAGCTCACTGCAAGGGGAGGCACCATCAAAACCATTGATTAAGGTTTGGGGTGAGAGCCTGCCAGTGGCTGAGGTGAGAGGATACGAAGAGTCTGGAGAGCAGGGAGGCATGTCTCAGTTAGTCTTAGGAGCATAAAGAGGGAGGGGCTCCTTTTCCTGATTCCTGGGCTGGCATCACTAAAATGACACGGTCACCATTGTTCAGTACTGGGCGCTGACCTGGTGAGTGTTGGCACCTGGACAGGTTCACCCTGGGAAGTCCCTGGCTTTTGGGAGGTGGGGCAGGGTGCTCGGAACATATTTCCTGTTCCGGCAGGCACAATTCCTGGTAGCTTCAGGGAAAGGATATGTACTTTACATACAGCAACCTTTGTCCCACAAAGTGTGCAAGAGTTTAAATTCCCATATTTCTGAGCTCCAGGGATCCTCCCGGGTCTTTTAGTGGGTGGCAGGTGTTGGCCACTTCCGGCAGAGGTGCAGCAGCAGTGTGGCCATGGGACCGCAGGGTGGCCAGGCACACCTGGCTGGAAGCCCTCCCAGAAGGCCCTGGCTGCGCCTACCTCCTTCTGCTGAGTCAGCTGATTCTCCAGGTCTTGTGACTTCCTCCTTTCTGCCTCCAGCGTTTCCCATGCTTTTTTCTTCTCATAAGCCATGTTGTTCTCCAGGGCCTGAAAGGCACATTCAATCTCAGCATCCAAATTAAGCCTAACAGTTAAGATGGGCATCCATGTTACCCCCAGGACGACCTCACCCCCCTCCATGGTACCCCTATGTGGAGCTGCTGCTAAGAACCCTTTGTATAGACAAGGAAACCTGGGGCCAGAAGTGGTGGGGGCTCAGGGTCGCATCACGGGAGGCCAAGGTCCTGAACACAGCAAATGGGCAGGCTGTGTTCAGAGGCTCTGGGAGCTGACCAGCAACGCGTGAAGCAGATTTCTGAAGAAGAACTGGTTTTGGCAGGACAGAGGTGTGTGGGGATAAATGAGCCAGTTACCACTTTCTAGATTTTTCTAGAATCGAGGAGGTTCAGGGTGAGACTTTCAGGGATGCCCAGGAGGAGGGAAGAACTCTGGGTTAGCATTCTTCTACCCCTAGCCATGAGCTTCATCTGGTCCATTTCGTGCTGCTGTTACTCTGCTAATGGACTCACGGCAGGTTGTACCCCAGAGAACAGAAACTGTGGTCCTGGCGGTCCCCTCAGCTTTCACACACTCTTCCTTCCACACCCAGGCGTTTGGAACTTGAAACATGACTTGCACTAACTGGAGAGGATTAGCCTTCTGAAGGCACTTATTCCACAGGAGGTGGAGAGGAGCCACGCCCACACACACCTTTTGAGATAAGTTTTATGAGGTTCATATATGTGATCCCAGCATGTGGGAGGTAGAAAAAAAAAAAAAAAGAGGATCAGGAGTTCAAAGATTATCATTGGCTATATTGTGAGTCTGAGGCCAGCCTAGGGTAATAGATCCTCTGTTAAAACAAAACAAAACAAAACAAAACACTCCAAACCAACAAATAAAAGAACAAAACCAAACACCTAATAAACAAACAAAAAGCCCAGCGGAGGTGTCTTGATTCTTTTCGGGAAGAAACTACAGTCAGGCCCTGTCAGAGGCGGCCTGACCCTCTGAAGAAGTGGTGTAAGCCTAGCCCGTTCTGCATGATGCTTTTTTTTTTTTTTTTTCCCTTAAGGCAGAATCTTACTGTGTAGCCCTGGTTGGCCTACAACTCTAAATGTAGATCAAGATGGCCTCAACCTCACAGAGCTCCTCATGGCTCTGCTGCTGTCTGAGTAGAGATTAGAACTGTGAATCACCATACCCTGCTCATACCCAGAGACTTAAAGTTTCCTGACTTGCCCCCATCAGCTTGGAATCTCTAAATTCCTGGATGGCACCTGACTGAGGTGACTCCATGGCGACCACACACACACACACACACACACACACACACACACACACACACACACTCAACCTGCTTCCTTACCCTGCCTGGAGACATAACTCAAGGACAAACCTTGGCAACACTGTTGACAGAGCACTGAGGAACAGCTGTGTGAGGACCCATTTGAAAACATCTCCCTGGAGCCACATTGGATTGTCTGGGTGGACTTGCATGGGGGGGGGGGTGGATACTCCCCTATCCGCTCCACCCTGGCAGGGCAGGCAAGCATTCTAGTTTGAGGAGGGAGGGTTGTCAGGTGGGGGCAATGCTCGAGTCCAGGGAGACGTGGCTGTGGTGACCCTGACCGTAGCTACCACAAATCAGTGGAATTATCTCTGGCCTTCATGGCCCCCTTCCAAGAAGGGAGGTACCGATAAACTCAGACGTGTGTCCTGAGTGGCTACAGAGCCTGCATCCTCAGGGAAAGCACCAGCGCAAAGAACCTGACACTGACCACAGCTAAATGCAAGCTGACAATGCAACAGAGCTTTCCTGTGGGTGAGAGTCTGGGGTGCAGCCACTGAAACGCAGCATCTTTAAGGAGGGATGGAAAGCCCTTCCCCACTGTTCCGTGGCTGGAGGGATGGCATTTGATTCTGGCTGAAGGACTTCAGGAAGAAGGCAGGTGATGAGCTGCAAACTACAGAGCTTAAGGAGTTGGGCACTCACCGGAGTAGACATGGGCTCAGAGGATTCTACTCTAACCACTCCTGCTGGATCAATTCCAGAACCCCCCTCCTCCAAAGTAGAAATGATGGCCAGAGTTTTTGACTTTTCAGGAGAGAATGGAAATCTGGATTTTCAAATACAATTTATGAATCCAAACTAAAACATTCTAGGTACAACACATCTGCAGGCCCTTTCATCCACTGTGACCTTCTGCAGCACAGAACAGGCACTGGAAGGGGATCCAGGCCAGGCTTCCATCCTGCTGTGCATGGCAGGGGACAGGGTTGGGGCTGGGGCTGGCTGGGAAGGCTACAGGGGCGGGTGCCTCCTTGTTAAGCATCTGGACCGCTATGTGGAAGAGGAGGCCTGAGCTGGGTCAATGATGGCCACCTGTCTGCCAGAAAGAGCTGGACTCACCCCAACCTAAGACAGACTTCCTGCCAGCCCTGGGCTTCCCTGTGCTGGGGGATGAGGACGACTTCGGATGCTGATGCTGAAGATGAGTGGGTTTAGGACATTGTTGGGCTGTTCTCCCAAGATCCCGTCATCCCCATTTGCTATTTCAGGGCAGGTGTGTGCCACCGCGGCCCAACCTGTGTTCTGTGCTGTCATCCTTGAGTCAGAGCCCTAGTTGGCCTCAAATTCACAGTGATCCTCTCAGCCTCCTGACTGAAGTGACCTCAGTGTTGGGGTGATGGGAAGGAGACACCACAGCTGGCTCATCACATTCAAAAAATTTTTTTCTTTCTCTCAACTGGTTGGCAAGGCTACATCTCCATGGCTCTCTTCCAAGTCCTTTATGCTTCTCCCCAGTTGCAGCGCCCAGGCCAGGACAAACAGCACGGGGCAGCACCCCCACACTCTGCCTGCAGTCCCTCCAGCCGGCCTCCCCATGTTCGGCGTACCTCCTTTTGACAGGCCAAGTAGCTCTCTAGCTCACGGACTCGAGCTTGCACCTTCTCCAGGGCCTCCTGCTCTCTGTTTCTCTCCTGAGTGATGCTCTCTTCCAAAGCCTGCAAGCCAACAGCTGTTGTGGAGTCCCCCTGTTGCCATGGCAGGAAGTGTACTCTCCCTGGGCTCTATCTGCTCTGCGTTCCCATACTCTGCATGCCTCACCCGGGCCTGGCAGAAGAGCCGGCGGTTCCCTGGCCTCTGAAGACGCAGGTCTGTGTGAGACCCTCAGAGGGACCCTGACGACTGTAGGTCCTGACTGATATTCTGGGCAGACTTAACTCCCTGTCTCTGGACTGCTTACCTTTTTCTGGTAGGCCAAGCGACTCTCTAAACTTTGGGCTCTCGACTGCTCCCCCTGTAAAGCCTCCTTTGCTTTGTTTTTCTCTTGGACAATATTTGCTTCCAGGGCCTGCAAGTCAAGGACCCTTGTTAGACAGACCTGGTTTCCATGGCAGGAAAATGGACTCTGCCAGGTTCATGCTTCCGTCCTTACCACATCCTAAAGAGGATGTGGACATTAGTTTATGGACTGGAGCATGGGGTCTGGAGTGGGGTGGGAGGGCAGGTGAGGACCCTGGATGGAGCCTCGCCAGCTATGGGGCCTGGCAGCTGAGAGTCCATGCATAGAAGCCTCGGTTTCCATATCTGTACAACAAGATGAGTATTAACTCTTCCTGCATTGGGCTGATGTGGGGAAGGAGTGATAGAATGGCCAACTCGAGATTCTCGATGGAGTGACAGCCATCTGCCTCCACTCTGCACAGGAGGAGACAAGCTTCATTAGAGATATTGGGGCATTGGCCTCATTTACTCTGAAGTCTGTGTTCTAAACCAACATAAGACAGACTTCCTGCCAGCCCTGGGCTGATGGATGAAGGCGTCTGGGTGGTGGGACTAAAGATGAATGAGTTTAGGACCAGGGTTAGCAAATAGCCTATAGGCATGCACTGCCCCTACCCCAACACTGCTGCTTTATAAATAAAGTTTTATTGGGACACTCCATGCCCACTGTTGATGTGTGGTCTATGGCTATTTCATTATTTATTTATTTATTTTTAACAAGAGCAGGGCTGCGAAGTCACACACAGACCGCAAAAATGACAGCATTTATTATCTGGCTCTGTGAAGGAAGGTTGTTGGCACTGGTCTACAACAGAAAGAGTGTGTGCACAAATTAAGAAGGTGCCGTTCAGGTCTCTAATTAAAAAAAAAAATGGGTGCTGGATCGATGAAGGAGGCTGACATTTATTTTGCCATTGGGGTGGGGGAAAAGTCTTCAGAGCAGCTAAGATTCATGGGAGAGAGGCTGAGGGTGAGCTAAATGTGTGCTATTTTTAGAGAGAGTAAAATGAGGGGTATCAGAGTATGGGGGAAGGGTCACTTAGAAGCCAGCACAGTGCTGGGGAGATGGCTCAGCCCATCCGTAAAGCATTTGCCTTGCAAGCGCAACCTGAGTTTGTGCCCAGCTTTCACTTAAAAACAGGTGTGGGGCTTGGAGAGATGGCACAGGAGGTAAAATGTACAAACCGAAGGCTCAGAGTTTGGGTCTCCAGCACTGGCTAAATGCTGGGTGGGTGCCACAGTCTGCCTGTAATTACAGTGCTCTGAAAACAGAGCAGAGGGAACCCTGGGAGCAAGCAGAACAGTTGGCTGTATCCGTGAGCTCTGGGCTCAACTGAGTGACCCTGACTCAGTCAATAATGTGGAGTGTGATCGTGGAAGACTCTTGGGCCTCTACAGTCAAGTGCACAGCATGTGTGAATTTGGACTCCCAGATGCACTCAAGTTGCAAGCTTATGCTCACCCCCATATACATCCGGATATGCACAGCCACATTTTGCATACCACACAGAGACACACACTTAAAAAGAGCCAAGCACGATGGTATGCGCTTGTAACTCCAGGACCGGGGAAGAGACAGGTGGATTCCTGGGGCTTACTGGCCAAATAGTTCAGCCTGCTTGGCAGGTTCCAGGCCAGTGAGAGACCCTGTACCAAAAACGAAACAAAACAAAACAACAACAACAACAAAAAAAAACAAAAACAGGGAGGGGCTGGTGGGATGGCTCAGTGGGTAAAGATGTTTGCTTGCCAAACCTGACAGCATGATGTGATTGTGTCTACACACACACACACACACACACACGGACTAAGGCCCACAAATATTCTTTTAGATGACTCTCTGGGGTCAAGCTGGACGGGAACCAGGGTGGACATGACAATGGCAATCTGGCTAAGTGTGGATGTCACTTTGTGTCCTCTCTGCCACATACATGCTCTTGACACCGTGATGTTCTGCCCAGTGTGTGGGGTCCAGCACATCCAAAACTGAGCCAAAGTAGCCCCCTCCTTCCTCCTAAGAAGCTAAACACAACTACTGTACAAGGCAGCTTCTGAAGGAGTGAATCTGTGGCAGCGATACCCGACACCCAGGTCTGTTGCTAGCGCTAACCTATTCGGAACAGCTCGGGCAGGGAACCAGCTGGACGCTCCCCAGCAGGTACGAAACCATGGAGAGAAAGTGTGTCGCGTTGCATAATGGAGCCAGTAGGGAAGGACCGAATGACAGTGTTTGCAGAGAGACAGGCAGAACTGGAAACCATCATGTCAAGGGAAAGAAGCCAGACCCCGAAAGACCAGCATTTTTTTCTCTCATGTGTGGAACTGATGAGATGGGACCAAGCTTCGGTCCACAGGCTGTACCAGGACCTATGAGTCCAATGCTAAACTGTACCTTTATTTTAAGAGTGATGAGTTTTATTTGTTTGTTTGTTTGTTTTTGAGACAGGATCTTTATGTATTTCTGGCTGGCCTGGAATTTATCATGTAGACCAGGCTAGCCTCTAACCCCCAAAGATTTGCCTGCCTCTACCCCCCGAGTTCTGGGGTTAAAGGCGTGTGTCACCATGCTCAGCCCTATTTTGTGTTTTCTCACACCTGTGGAATATAGATTGTAGCATGTGACATGAAAGCCAAGGGGACTATTTAGGGAAAGAGGGTCCTGGAGGGAGGACATACAAGGGTAATGGGGAGAATGTGGTCAAATTAGAATATTATATAGGCACAAAAATGTCATAATAAAACTCACTATTTTGTGTACAAAATACTTTTTTTAAGACTCCTTCCTTCTTTCAGGCTTTTTCCTTTTTGAATGTCAGGCATTCTGTGATAGCAAGGAGAAGGCTGATAGGAACAGCAGCCATCGTCAGTCTTACTTTCGAGAGAATCATACACAATTTTTGGCCGATGGTTCTCCCATTTTACATCCTCCACTTGACAAAAGGCAGAAAGGGGGCTGTCAAGATGGCTCCACAGGTAAAGGTGTCTGCTGCTAAGCCTGATGACCTGAGTTCGATTCCCAGGTCCCACATGGTGGAAGGAGGAAGCTGATTTCCACAGGCTTTCTTACACACACACACACACACACACACACACACACACACACACAGGAAGTGGATGTTAACCGAAGGCTGGAGAGAGCCTGGGGAACAGGTGTGTGACAGAGAGAGACTGTCCAAGTTGGGAGTCCCTGAACTGGAGCCGAGCCAACAAGAGGTGGTGAAGCTGTGGAAGGCCTTGTCCTTCACTGAGGAGAGAGAGGGAGTGCTTGGGAGGGGAAGGGGTCCAGCAGGTCGGGCACGATGTGCACAGCCCTACACACACACTCTGATGGTGGCTATCAACTATGGCTGTGCTTTGGAACGTCACAAAGCCCGGAGCCTGAGCTGCACTCTCACCTTTGTCCCCAGAGTCTAAACGACGCAGTTTATTAGCATATGTTCATTATGCATAATATGGGTTTCATTATGAAATTTACATATGTATATAATGTATTTTGGTCATAGTCACCCCGTTACCCTCTCTTTATTCCCTCCGATCCCCTTTCTCTTCTCAAGTATTCCCCACTGTACTTCATACCCTCCCTCTCCCCATCTCTCCCTCAAGCATAGCTGCCCATGGGTCCTCGGGAAGGGGCAGGGCCTTGTGTGCTCCTTGTCCCTTCCAGATGTCAACAGGCCCAGTCTTGCACTGGCCTTGTGAAGGTGGTCACGGCTGTGAAGTCTAGTCTGTGACACAGGCTACTTCTAATACAGCATCTGATTAGAGTTACTATCCTTGGGACACCCCTGGGAAAGCCCCGGGTCCTCCTGTGTGTCTGGGATGCAGATCTGGGGTGCTGTGAGCCTCTGGGGGGCTGTCCGTGCTGTGAAGTGGACGCTGCACCTCAGCTCAGATGGACCCTCAGATAGGTCAGGCACCCTACTTGGTGTGCGAGTCACCCGGGAGGCCTTTCTGCTTGGCCTGGCTTCTAAATGGGTGAGCAGCAGTCTGGGCCAGTTTGTTTGCCCAGCTACATATCGAGAGGGGAAGAAAAGCTGACGTGACCTGAAGCCGGTTTTGCTTACACCTGGTCTCTCCCTTCCGTACCAGGATCTGCAGCAGCGCCTCCAGCGTTTCCTGAGCTGTCAACATGCCTGCCTCGTCCAGGTGATCTTTCCGTGTTGCCTTCTCTTTTTAAAGTTCTTGTTTTGTTTTTTATATAACATGTGTGGGTGTTTTGCTAGAAGAGGGCACCAGACCCCCCCGGAAGTGGAGTTACAGGCGGCTGCGAGCTGCCATACCGTGCTAGGAAGCAAGAGCGGCGAATGTTCTTCACCACCGGGCCATCTCTCTAGCCCACTGCTTTGAGTTTCAGAACTGAATTATTCAGCTTGTGTAACCCCTTTAGAACCAGCACACCAGTCCAGACACTGGGGAGGCTGCTGTTCAGCACAGAGACCCCCCGTGGCCTATGGTAAGTCCCCCCCACCCCCCTCAATTCCCAGGCTCAAAGGAACTGCCAGGGACCACCTTACCTCCTTCTCTTCTGTCAGCTGCTGGATTCTGGCTTTCAGCTTTTCCTCCTGTTCCAGCTTCTCCTCATTCAGCTTCTCCTTCTCAGCCAGATGTTCCTGCTGCAGAGACTGCTGACTTTCCTGGGAAACTCTTACCTGGACCTGCATGGAGAGAAAAGCCAACTGAAGCCCAGAGCTGAGAGACTGAGGAGTCCTTTTGCCACTTACAAATTGTTCATATTCTAGGTCTCTGTAAAAGCTCCTTAGAAATGTGGCTGGACCATATTTGGTCTAGAGAAGAAACCGGTGAGGAAGTCTCCATGCTCTGGTTCTAGATAGAAATCCCTGCTCTAGTTAATTCTTCATGTTTTCCCATTCCGGACACAAGGCATCACAGTGCCTGCATCTCATTAATGAGATGCTGAGGGGGAGCTTTTAGTCCAGTGCATGGAGTGTAAGCAGCAAGCGCTCAGTAAACTGTAGCCAGAGGGTCAGGAGCCTCGTGTTTTTGATCTTTGTCCAATCAGTTGTGTGGTGGTCAGATTATCACCAACCTCTCTCAGAACACTGATGTCCGTGTCTGCAGGATGGGACTAAGGGGCTGAAGTCCACGGCCAGATCTGGTTCACCATTGTGTGACACTTAGCATGTGGCATTCATGTGGAGAGGAAAGGAGGACTCGACAGAGCCACTGTTCTCCTTCCAGGGTGTGGGTCCCAGCCTTGGTGGCAAGTACCTTTATCCACTGAGCCACCTCACTGGCCCTTTTGGAGTTTTTTACAGAGGAAATCAAGCACTGTGGCTATCCCAGGAGGCCAAGTAGGGGACTGTGCCCTGTGCTTGTCTGTTCCTTTGCTGGTCATCTCAGACCATTTGTCTCCTGCAGGAGGATGGGGTCCAACTCGCCCACAACATGAAAACAAATTCAGATTCACAGTTTGGGGAGTGGGAGAAAAGAACTTAAAAACTCACCCGAAGTTCCTGGGTCTGCCCTATAATTTTCTTGTAATGTTCTAGAAGATACATCAGGCACAGAGAGAAGCCTTAAAAAGAGGGGTACGAAGAGAGGTAAGTGTCTGTTTATCTCCTTGTGCATGTTTCTCTCCCTCCCTTCCTCCTTCATTTCCTCTCTCTCTCTCCCCTCTCTCTGCCTTTCTCTTTCTCTTTCCTTCTTGTTTTCCCTTTTGAGATGTGGGCTTGCTATGTAGCCCAGGCTGGCCTTGAACCCGTGATCCTTCTGCCTCAGCTTCCTAAGTGATAGCAGTTCACCATGCCACCACATCCAGCGATGCATAATGACGTATCCCATAAAGACAGGACAAGCTGTCACCCAGTACATTTTATAAATGGTTGTTAGATGGCCTAGGCGCATCTATGAGGTGTGTATGGCCGCTTTGGTAGACACTAAAAATCTATCAATAAGGCACCATTTCCTGTACGAAAATCCAGAGGGACAAAGTTTTCGAAGCCACACCCTCCTAAGCCTTACAGTGTGGTCTGAGTGACAAGTTTGCCTGACAGATAAGAAACACCCAGGGACCACAGGTAGCACCCAAGTGACAGGGAAGGACAGGGGAGTGTGAGGGTCTCCACAGAGGGGCCGTTCGGCCGAAGAGGAGCCGTTTGGCCGAGGAGCCACTCGGTGTGGGCAGAGTGTTAGGGAGGGCATTCCAGAACAGAGCACGAGGCTGGCTGAGTGAAGATGGCACCAATACCTGGGTCCTAGATCCCGGGAGCTGGGAATACATAGAGAAGAGACTGTCAGTGTGCTTAGGTTAAGGATTCTGAGGTGGAGGTTATTCTGGGTTATCTGTGTAGACTCAACATGATCATACTGTTATCATAAGAGGGAGACAGAAGAGCCTTGATGCCAGACAGACAGACAGACAGATGAGAATAGAATAAAAGTGATAGAAGCAGAGAGATTTATTTATTTATTGACTTACTTACTTATTTGTTTGTTTTTGAGACAGGGTTTCTCTGTGTAGCCCTGGATGTCCTGGAACTCACTCTGTAGACCAGGCTGATCTTGAACGTTGGGATCCACCTGCCTCTGCCTCCTGAGTGCTGGGATTAAAGGTGTGTTCCACCACTACCAGGTTAATAGATTTTCTAAATTATTATTATTTTATCTCATGTGCATATGCGTTTTACATCTGTGTATGTCTGTGTACCATGTGTGTGCCTGGTACCCATGGAAGCCTTTGAAGCTTTAGAGAGATCCGAAGGTATCTTTATATTGCTGGCTCTAAAGATGGAGAAAAGTCTAGGTCTGGTGGCATAGGCCTGTGAGCTAGCTGCTTGGGAGGCTGAGGCAGGAGGATCACAAGTCCCAGGTGAGTCTATGCATGGAGTCAGTTCAAGGCCAGCCTGGGCAAGTTTGTGAAATCTTGTTTCGAAAGCAAAAGTAAGCTGGGTGGTGGTGGCACACGCCTTTAATTTCAGCACTCGGGAGGCGGAGGCAGGCACGTCTAAAGTTTGAGGCCAGCCTGGTCTACAGATTGAGTTCTGGGACAGCCAGGGCTACACAGGGAAATCCTGTCACAAAAACAAACCAAACAAAACAGCAGAAGAAAGGGATGGCTGGGATGTAGCTTAGTGGCAGTGTTTGAGTAAGGTCTTGGGTTCCAGCCCCCATACCAAAGGAAAAAAAAAAAGGAACAAAGAGAGAAGGGGCCATGAATGAAGGAACGGAGCTCTAGAAGCTGAGAAGGCAGTGGGTGGGGGAGGTGGGTACCCTCAGAACCTGCAGAAGGAAGCAGCCTAGCAGCTCCGTGACTTGGTCCCATAAGACTGGTCTACACTGTTGGCCTCTAGTGGCCTCTTGGTGATTTGTTGGAGCAGCACACAGCAAAAAGATGAGAGGATGAAAATGGGTAGGGACTAGGGAGGAGTGGAGTTTCCCTGGACAGATGAGGGGTGGAGGGGAAGAAGGAAGGTGAAGCCGATTGGGAGGCTGAATATCTGAAGATCATTTCTGACAGGCCTGGGGGAGGATCCTAAAGCATACTGTCCTGATTTTAATGGCTCTGACTTGCACGGAGCACCCCCTGCCCCCACGTGCCTGGTGCTCTGGGAATCGGATGAATGCCTCACCACAGAGGCACCCTGTCATCACCCAGACTGACAGACAAGCTCTGAGCCCAGTGGCTGTCTGTGGCAGGTCCGGGACTCCAGTCAGTGTGATTGCAGGCTCTGACTCATGGAGCTGAGGAGCTAGCTGCTCTGGAAAGAGTGAAATAAAAGCTGGGATGGCTAGAGAGGAAGGGTTGACAGGATGCCTTCACTTAGTGTTACAGGCATGGTAGGCCAGCCCTTCCTAGCTATGGAGACTGTCTCCTGCTCTATAGGGTCTTTAAAAGCTTTCCTGGCCTTTGTCAATGTCAGAAGTATCTTTTTTCTTCAGCCCATCGGAAGAACGAAAAGAACTCCAGACACGGCCAGATACCCTGAGATATTAGAGTCTCCTGCTCTGACTTAGAGGCAGGAAACTTGCTGGTAGCCAGAGGGATGCCCAGGTAAGTCACAGTTGGTGTTCTGAGTTAGGTTGCAGATGCAGGCCTGAGAGAAAAGGATGAGGAGCAGCAGCCAGCTCTGAGACGCCTGGAATCTGAACTCTGGAAGGACTCCAAAGGCAACTAGCTGGTCAGGGAGGAAATGGACACTAGCTGTGGACAGGACCAGTCTAGGCTCTCAGTCACCCCCTGTCACCCAGGAGCCAAAGAGAAGGGCCGAATTATGGTTGGGATCTACAGAGAATCAAAGGGAGAGGGGAGAGATAGAAGGTGAAGTGGAGAGGGATTGCCAGCTCAGATGCTGTGGCGGGTTGAGTAGGTAAGGCCCCCATGGACTCATGTGTTTGAATGCTCGCCCTATAGGACGGGTGGCCTTGTTGGAGGAAGTGTGTCACTGTTGGAGGTGCGCTTTGAGGTCTCCTTTGCTCAAGCTATACCCAGGGTGCCACACATGTTCCTTCTGCTGCCTTCAAGATCTAGAACTCTTGGCTCCTTCTCCAGCACCATGCCTGCCTGCACCCTGCCATGCTTCCCGCCATGATGATAATGGACTAAACCTCTGAAACTGTAAGTCAGCCCCAGTTAAATGTTTCCCTTTATAAGAGTTGCCGCGGTCACGGTGTCTCTCCACAGCAATAGAACCCTAACTAAGACAGATGGTGAAATGTGATCATGTTGAGATCTTGCCTTTAGGAAGAGAGAAGAGCAAGATTCCATCATATTTTCCGTTACAAAAGCTTAAGTGTTCATTACAAAAACCCAAAGGTTACAGAAGTTGATCACGGGGAGAGCTCACAGCTCTAGCTTCAGTTCCGCCCAGCAGCCACTGGCAATCATTGCTGAGGCTGGAGAGGTAGCCCGGGTGGTAGAGCATTCGCTGAGCCCGTACGAGGCCCTGGGCTCATCCAGAGTGTGAACTGGCTGTTGCGTGAACACCTCACACCGCAGTGTTTGGGAGGCGTAAACAAGAGGACCAGAGGGTCAAGGCCATCCTCAGCTGCCTATCAAGATGGGGGCCATGAGTCACATGAGACTGTCTCAAAAACTGACAGTCACAAAGCTGCTGAACAACTGAATGAAAGTAGAGGCCTCTGTGATCTGTCCTGTTGCCATGGCATCCCATAGTTTCATGTGCTCCCCTCTAGCTTTTTCTTCTGGTTAGCTACTAACATTTAAAAACATTAAAAAAAAACAAAAAACAAACCCAAAACCAAAAAACAACCCAAAAAAACAAACAGACAAAACAAAAACAAAAACAAAAACAAAAACAAAAAAACAACCCAGGAACATAGTTTGCGTATTGTTTTACAACTTGATTCTTTTCTTCTTTTTCTCTTTACACAGGTTCTTACTATGCAGCCCTGGCTGTCCTCTAGCTCAGACAGCCTGCCACCTCTTCTTCCTGACTGCTGGAGTGACATCTATCTTCCTTCCTTCCTTCCTTCCTTCCTTCCTTCCTTCCTTCCTTCCTTCCT